TGGTGTGTGAGTGGTGTGAGTGTGTGTGGTGTGTAGGTGGTGTGTGAGTGGGTGTGTGTGCTGTGTGAGTGTGTGTGGTGTGTGTGAGTGGTGTGAGTGTGTGTGGTGTGTGTGAGTGGTGTGAGTGTGTGGTGTGTAGGTGGTGTGTGAGTGGGTGTGTGTGCTGTGTGAGTGTGTGTGGTTTATGTGAGCGGTGTGAGTGTGTGTGGGTGTGTGGTGTGTCAGTGTGAGTGTGTGTGGCATGGGTCTCCCCAGCAGGGCGCTCACAGCTCTGACTGCATCTCCATCTCCATGGTGCTCACAGCTGAGCCAGCCGGGCAGAGCCGCTGAGGACGCTGAGGGCGCGTGCTGAACCAAAGACCACACACATGTGCAGATCCCCGGTCGCTGCCGAGCTGTCACCCTGATCATCTGCTGCCCCTGCTTTGTGCACCTGGTCTGTCTTGGCGTCCTGTGAGCGCGTCACATTAGTACACTTCCCAGAGAGGAGCCAGGACCGGGAGGTGCTGCCCATGGCCACTGAGCTGGGCCTGTGCCCTCACCGCCCTAACCCTGGATCTCACCCTGGGCGGTGCCTGGAGCCACAGCTGTGAACCACTTGCTGTCCCCACCCCAGTTCCAGAGGGGACGCGGGCCAGAGACCTGGCCAGGGCCACTCGGCTGCCGAGCAGCAAGACCCAGACCGGGACGACACTCGAGTGGACTCCATGCCCTGCCACCCCAGGCCTGCAGGGGCAGCCGTGCCCTGCGAAGGCCGCGTCTCACCTGACGGGTGGGCAGGTCCGGGGTGCAGGTGTTGGGGGCACACTGCTCCTCGGGGTCCAGGCGCGCCCTGCGCCACCGCCTGGCCCGCCAGTCCGCTGCATGTGGGGCGTCCTCAGGCTCGCTGCTGTCCGAGGTGTCCCCGCTGGCAGCCTGCGGGTTGAAGTTCACGTCCAGGTCACCCTGCAGGCGCAGCCTCTCGGCTGCGGGGCTCCAGGGGGCCTTCCTGGGTTGCCAGGAGAGCCTGGCTCGGCGCCTTGCATCCCGCGAGGAGCCTGCAGAGGACGTCTCAGAGTCGGAGCCCATGGCTTCGGGGTTGGGGGAGGCTCTTGCAGAGGGAGAGGTGGCTGGGGGGCCGTGCGCATCACCACGGGGCTGAAGGCACAGCTTGCTCAAGGCCGCACTCCAGCTGAAGTCCTCCTCGCTGTCGGAGCCCAGCTCCTCGTAAGCAGACGCTGCCCGGGATGGTGCCTCCAAGGTCAGCAGGGTTGCACTCTTCCGTGAGGCCAGCAGGCATGCAGGAGCTGCTGCGCCACCCTTCAGGGCCACCCAGTTCCCGTCGGGGCTCTGGAGAACGGCGGCTGCACCTGCGGGTGGGAAGTGGAGGTCAGCACGGAGGGCGGGGCTGCCGGAGTCCCCAGCCTGAGCTGTTCCTGGGGGGATGGGAGGGCCCAGCTGGGGGTGCGGGTCCCCTCAGCGAGGGTAGAGAGGAACCTGGGGCCCTTGGCTCCCCTAGGAATCACCCACCTCCCTCTGGAGGGTGAGCATGCTGGCTGTCTGACTCCAGGCCATGTGTACCCCGAGTCCTGTTTCCCGCTCACAGAGAGAGTAATTCCACCTCTCCCGTCCACCTCACTTCCACCCTGGGGCTCTCCCCGCATCCCAAGGCCTCAGAGGCAGGTGTGGGAGACTCCACAGCTCCAGGTCCTCCCCATCTGGAAAGGGTGGAGGCCCGGAGTGTGGCTATTCCACACAGCCCACAGAGGAGGATGAGGTACGAGCTAAGGTGAGGGCCTCTCGGAGGCCTCTGCCCTGGCAAACACAGGGCGGTGGGCAGGAGCGTCCTGGTGTGACTGTGGTCTGGCAGGGTTTGCACTGCACCTGGGGGGCCCTCAACTGGGCACCAGGGTGGCCTGTGTGCTGGCTGGGGACGGGACAGGTGCTTTGTGCTGCTCTGCTGAAGGCACCAGAAGTTCCTGCCGTGGCCTGGAGCAGGTGGAGGCACTCCAGCCTGTGCAGCCCTGGGAACCAGGGAGCGGTGTCTGGCTTCAGGTTGCCTGGGTGGGTGAGTGAGGAAGGCTTGGGGACACGGAGGGACCGTCCCCAGCCTGCCTGGACCCTGGCTCCAGGCCAGGGGCAGGACCCTGAGCCTGGGTCTCACCTCGTGCTACTTGGGCACGCAGGCTCCCACCCGCTGCCCCAGGATGGAGTGAGTGCGTGTGGCGGCTGTATCTAGGTGCCCGCGGCCTGTGCGGTCATGGGTGGGGCTTTGCAGAGGTGGTGGGGTCACGTGTGACGCTGGGATTACAGTGTGAGGGTTAAGCTGTGTGATCCCTAAACCAGTCCACTGGTTGGTTCGGCAACACCTGATCCCAGTAGCTTAGAGTATAAAAGGGCAGAAGAGGCTGCTCAGCACCCCGCCGGATTTGCTGTCTTCTCCCTGTCTGCCGTGGACGCTTGCTCCGCTGTGATGCCCCTCTGCTGTCCCGCCTGCCGTGGAGCCCCTGCAGACTGAGACCTCTACACACTGAGCCGAGGAAACCTTCTGTCCTCTTTGTCTCAGCAGGGGGAGAAGTGACTCAGCAGCTAGTGTGTCACCCCAGCTCGCCCTGGCTCTGCTGGCTTCAGAGATGTGACCGAGGCGACGCAGATGGTGGCCTAGGTCTGGCCTCTCTGAGGTCTGGAGACAGGAGCCCAGCTGGCCAGCGCCCACTGGCCCCAGACGCTCCCTCCTGCGCCAGCCTCTCTGCCACGGCCAGCCCAGGCCAGTTTCCAGACGTCCTCTTGTGCCCTCAGCAGACCCAGCCCCTCCTCCGCAGGCTGCTGGCCGCTCCTCCGTGACCCCTGCACGTTCTGGCTGACTGCGGTGACTGGGTCAGCTCCAGGTGACGAAACTGAGACAGGGCTGTCTCTGTACTGGAGGCAGATGAGCCAGTTTGTGCATGGAAATGTCTCCATGTCCAAGGCCTAGGAAGAAGCCCCACTCACAGCGCACCTGGGCGATCCCTTGAACCTGTTTCCCCTTTGGGTGAAAAGGGGGCAGCTAACACCTTGCTGGGTTGCTGGAGGGTGATGCAGGGTGCTCTGAGCAGACTCTGCCACCAGCTCCTTCCTGTGTCCACAGAAACGTGCCTGCCCTGGTGTCTCCAGGCGGATCCACCGCTGAGGTCCTCAGTGCCCGCGGCGGGCATGGCCCAGTCCTCTCCACTTGTGGCCTATCGTTGGGGGCACCGTGGCCGTCACCAGATGAGCTGCAGAGCTCTGGGGACTGCGCCAGCCTCATCGGCCCGCACTGTCTTTACCCTCTGCCTCGGATCCGGTCCCGGATGAGGGCTTAGCACCGTCACAGTGGCCTGCGCACCCCGTGCACCCGTGGGGCACAGGTGCAGCCATCGCAGTCACTGTCCGGTACTGTGCAGTGGCCGTGCTCCCCGACTCTGAGTCTGGGCAGTGGGCAGTCGGGCTGTTGCCGCCCTCCACCACTCACAGGCCTCCGTCCTAGGAAAGCAGGAGAGCGGCCGCCCTCCTGACCAGCAGCACCACCCCCCACGCAGCCCTTGGCCGCCAGTCCAGTGTGAGCAAGAGCCCACGTTCAGGGCAGCCCAGCCCCGTACCCAGGGCTCCGGGTGTCTCAGCCTGGGAAACACCCCCTCTCGGAGCTGCCCAGCTGCCGGGGGCTTGTTCTGGGACCTGGGCCTGACAGGTGGAGGCTCCGACCGAGCTCCCAGAACTCCTCAGGATGGGTCGTGTCTCCAGGCTCATGGTCCCAGTATCCTGCAAGGCTGCAGGTCCCACATCAGACCCCTCTTCTGGGGGAACCAGAGATACAAAGCCAACACTGGGAGGGTGCTGTTTCCGGAAGGAAGGAAGGAAGGGAGGGAGGGAGGAAAGAAGGTCCTTGGGATTATGAGGCACGGAGCCTGCTGCACGGCAGCTTCTGAACCTGCCCTGGACACCGTCGCCAGGGACATGCCTGGGCTTCTGCCTGAGGAGCGAGCAATGCAGGTTCTCGGGCCTCCCAAAGCTTTCATTTCATAGCCTAGGCCGTCTGCACCGCCTGCCTAGCCGTGAGGCCCTGGGGGATGGGCCTTGTGCACCTGCTCCTCTCGTCCAGCCTGGGCACAGAAGATGACTGAACACTGCCCAAAGGACTCAGAGCAGGGCCCGGCCTGGGCACGGGACGAGCCGGAACCTGGGACCTCAGTTTGAGTGCGTTGGAAACGTGGTCCTTGGACCTCGCCCCTAGTGTGGGCAGGTGAGGTCCCCACCCGGCCTGGCTCCTCTCTTCTGCTTGTGAGGCCCACTCTCCTCGAAGCAGCTGGAAATGGCTACTTCTGTCTCAGCAGAGCCCTGCCCTCCTTCCTGGCTCTGACAGCCAGCCCGAGTAGCCCGGGGCGTCGGCTGCCTTCCCGGATGCTGAGAAGCCTTCCTCCGCCGGGAGCCCTCATCGCTTCTTTACCAGATCTGGCTCCGTGGTGCACATGCTGCTCAGCAGGCCCCGGAGACAGCGCAGCGCTCTGACCTGTTTCCCCAATGCGCTGCCGTGCTGTGTACCCAGCAGATGCGGTTTCAGGGTCACAGCGTGAAAATGCCTCTGAGGAAGTCCAGGAGCTGCTGTGAGCGCTGGGCAAGCTGGAGGTGACCTTGCTGTGTGACCCAGGCTGCACTAAACACCGCTGACCCGCTGCTAGACAGCCTGAGGCGCTGACCTCGACTGACCTCCACCTGCGTCTGTCCTGCATTTCGGTAGAGGTGAGTGACACCTCTGTGAACGGGGTGCTTCCTGCTAAATGTGGCACTTCTTTCAAGACTCCAGGGTTGGCAGGGACATTTTGGAATGCCCAGGGCTGAACATCCCCCAGAAAGTCAGAAATTTTCTTCCTATGTGGCTTTTTATTTTAAATGTTCAACCTGAGATAGGCCAGAATGTTTGAGCAAAATCTTTTTTGTGCGATGCTACTGAATTAAGTGCATGTTTATATGCAGTTGGTATTAGCGCCTACTTTTACATCAATTTACGCACAAAAATGTTGTGAAAACAAAATTCCTAGCCAGGTGTGGTGGTGCACCAGTGTAATCCCAACACTGTAAGGCTGAGGCAGGCGGGTGCAAGTTGGAGTCCAGCCTGGGTCACTCATCACCTTAGTGAGACCCTGTCTCAAAATGAAAAAATGAAAGGGCCTGGCGCCATGGCTCAGTACTGAGGCCCCGGGTTCCATCCCCAGCACCGGGAGGAAAATCCCTTTGCGAATCACGCGGCATGATGACGACCCAGGTGAGTCACACCATGACACGGCCAGTCCTGCGGAAGTTTTCGTAACGCCCTCTAATGCCTCGCTCTGTGCGTCCGAATTCTGAGGTGCGGCCAGGGTTTCAGGACCAGCTCTGCCCACCTGAGCCGTGGTCCTGAGCAGTCACCTGACCTCACGCTCACCCGTGCCTTCCTCTGCCAAGCACTGTGGCGACAGTGCTTGGCGGTGCTCCGGGCGGAGCGAAGGCGGGGGCAATTGGGGGCGGGGCGCGGAGGACCCCGAGGCTGGGCTCCTGCGCAGGCCAGGTGCAGCCTGTGAGATTCTGGGGTCCTGCGGCGCCTCTGAGTCCTTTCTCCTCATCGTGTCGAGGGCCTATGAAGAGTGGACACCGATGCGCTGTGCAGCAGGGGCGAGAAAGGCACATCTAGAGATGTGCAAAACGCGTTCAAGACAAAATCCAAGCCACAGACATCACGAACACAGCGCGTGCTCCGGAATCGCCGTGACGCCAGCTCCATGGCGTCTGCCGCTGGGCAGCAAGGGCTGGTGAGGCGCGGTCCCTTGGGGAGGCTGCAGGGGAGAGCTCGGGACGCTCGGGCGCGTCTCGCGGTGCGGGGTGGCCACTGGCTCATCACTGTCCTTGCGGACGGGAACGCAGCGCTCCTCAGGGCTGCCTCTAGGATGGCTACCTTGCCGCGCATCTTTGCTGTCCTGAAAGGGGTCCGGGCCTCACACCCGAGGCAGGAGACAGCTCTTGTCCTCACCTGAGGACGCGCTGCGTGCCTGGCTTCCTTACACGGCCCCTGTGCTGGTGAGGACTGGGCAGGCCCGCACCGGGACACCCTCCGCGGACGGTCTCGGGTCCCAGGGCCGTCTTGGCCCACACACAGAGGCTGGGTGCTGGCGAGATGGAAGCTGCCTCCTCAGCTCTGTCCCTCCCTCTGCTGGCCGCATGTGGCACCCAGGGCAAATACCTCTGTCCTTCACAACTCGGGGCACGGCGCTGTACTGTGGGGCCTCAAAGGGGATGACTGGGTGGAGCACCTGACTGCTTGCTTCTGGTACGGCGCAGCAGGACCCTGACTCACACTGGGTTTCGAAAAGGACACCCTGAAACCAGGCTGTGCCGGGACCACACCTGGGGAGCTGCCGGTCCTGACGGCTGGCTTGGCGGCCCTGGCTGCATCGACGCTTCCCCTGGTCTGTGTGGCACTGGGGCCAAGGTGGGCCGTGGGGTGACGCTAAGGCACAAGAGCACAGCCCCTTCGGCAGCGCAAGGATCCCAGCCACACCCAGAGCCACTGCCTTGCTAGGGCCTCGTGGAGGACGCCCGGGAGGACGAGGCTGGCTGTACGCTGGGCTTCACTGCCCCCGGCTTACGCCACGCATCCAGGGAGCAGGCCGCGCTCACCCTCAGCCAGGGCCCTGAGAGCGTAACCGTACTTGTTCCGTCCAGCCCGTCCACGCTCCTCCAGCTGGGCAGGGCACACGGCTTCCCGGGACACTGCCTCCCCGCAGCCTCCAGGGAAACGGTCTTCTTGGTGTCTCCTCCGGGGAACAAGAACGCAGACTGGGACCTCTGTGGACAGAAGAGCAGGAAGGGATGAGCTGGTGGGGGGCAGAGCAGCTGCTGCAGAGAGGTGTGTGTACCACAGGCAAGTGTGCAGATGGCCCCTGCGTGTGCCACTGCATACAAGGCCCACCGTGCACGTGTGATGACACGAGTGAGCACAACTGATGATTCTCGTCATCGGCCCCATGGAGGCGATCACAGCGTCCTGGCTTACTGCCTGAGTCAGAGAAGGTATAGGAATTGCGTCACCTAAGGAGAAGCAGCGGGGGAGCCGGGTCCAGAGGTGGGAAATGCCCAGGGGACTCACACGTCTCTCACACACACACACATGCACACGCATGCACGCACGGGACTTTATCCGACCTAAAACCCTCACTTTGGCCTTTGCCATGACTGACAGAACTGTATCTTATTGTTGGCTGTTTTGGTCTTTCTGCCCTAAAGTGCTCTGGAGGGCCGGAGAAGTTGGAAGAGCCGCCCGCCCAGGCTCCCTGCCTCCTCCTGCGGGCTCGTCACCAGCAGCACCCTATCCTCTGCCTGGGACAAACGTGCTTCTTCCTGCCACCACAAGTGCTCAGGATGGGAGGGCTGGGCGCCGGCACGGGTGTGGACGCGGACCCAGGAGCCAGCTGTCTTGGGCGGGACATCGCTTCCGGACACCTTGGCCATGGATGCCCTCCCGGGACAGATCTGGGTCCTTGGCCTTGTGCTGCAGCCAGTAAAGGTACAGTGAGGACAGCCTGAGAAGTAGCACGCAGGGACAGACAGCAACATCCAGCTCCAGACGTGTGCGTGAGTGTTATGCTTCGGCTGGAGCACAGGCAAGGCTTTGCCTGCTGTGGATGGAGGTGTAACCAGCCGAAGAGGTGAGACAGACGGGGCTCAGGGCCAGGCACAGGGCCTAGGAGCGCAGACTCGGGCAGCTGGCTGGCTTTGCTGGCTCAGGCTCGGGCAGCACTGGAAGAAGCCGGACTTGGGGAGCCAACTTGAGGCCTTTGAGCCACGTTCCCAGGCTGTCTACCAGGTAAGCACAGCCAGCTGCCATCCGGCCTCTCACCGCTGGGCCACCAGGTGGTCAGCTTGGCCCAGCGGTGATGAGCTCTCTCTGAAGCAGCTCATGGGACTCAGTGTCCACCACATCCATTTCCAGTGGGCCACGTCCGGGGATGCCTGCTGACTGCGTCCTCCCCACACCTGGCTGGGGCCCTGGCCTCCTCCGTGGCTCTGTCCTTGCTGTCCTCTGCAAGCATCTGGCACCACTATTAGACTACAGAGCACCCAAGGGGGTGACATCCCAACCGCAGGAAGGACCGGTGCCGCTGCTGGGGTGCACGTGGGCTTGGGGACAGCCAGAGACTGGCTTTCAGCTGCTGGGTGTAACCGGGGAGGAAGAGCCACACGCCGCACCCGGAGGTCAGTCCCGTGGCTGACTGGGGAGCCAGGCCAGCAGGGCCAAGCGCGGGAGCCCAGCGTCTCCCCCTTCATTCCGCGAAGCAGTGGTGTTGAGTAGCCTTGAGGAGCAGCCTGAGGAGGGGCGGCGCCCACAGGCCGGGTCGGGCGCCGCCCCAACTCTCAGAGCCCCCGCGGGTGACCGAGTGCTCAGGCTGGGTGCCCCAGGGACCCAGGTGCATCCCGCTGCAGCCCCGTGCGGTGTGGCCACACACGACCGTCCACCCGGCTGCGACAGGCTGTGGTGTGACCATGGCCCACTGCAGCTCCGCGGACTCCGAGCTCCTCAGCCAGGGCGCAGTGGGCCGAGCACAGAGGACAGGTGGCCTGGGGGCTGGTGGCGGTGTGTGGCCTCGTAGCCTCACAGGAGCCAGCCTGACTCCGCTCCTGAGTGGCCCAGGAGATTCTTATGGTGATCACTGGGTCTGTGTTTAAATGGCACTTCTGGGGCTGGGGACGTAGCTCAGCGGCACAGTGCCTGCCTGGCAAGCACAAGGTTGTGAGTTAGATTCCCGGTACCGGAAAAGAACCGAAACAAAAGAAATGGTATTTCCATTTTCCCTTTGAAGAGTTCAGTCCACCTCGTGGGGATGTGCGTGTCTGCGGGGTGGTGGGGTCTGTGTGTATGGCACAGAAACCCTCCCCGCGCCCTCAAAGGTGGGTGGAAACCCAGCCCCTCCTGGGGCCAGCAGGAAGCTGGGATCTGTGCCTTGGGGGAGCGGGCAGAGGGGTTGCTCAGCGGAGGAAAGGAAACCATGCTGCGCAGGAGGAGCAGTGCCCTGGTGACCTCAGAGGCCCTGGCGGGTGTGGCCAAGTTTCTCCAGCATGAGACCCTGAGTTCTGACTCGTGGCCCTGGCTTGGCCACAGTTCCCTGTGGTGGCATAATAGCCCAGTAGAGGGCGCCACAGCCAAGCTTCAGTCACCAGCGTCCCAGCTCCTGGGCGGGAAGCCAGGGGACGCAGGCCTCCTTTGCTCTCCCCGGATCATGCCCTCTGTGCCGCCTTCCCGCTCTGCACAGTCCCCACTTTGCTTCCCTCCTCGTCTACCAGGAGGTCCATGAAAGACGCGGCAATGGTGGGGACTCTGGCCAGGGAGGACGGCGAGGCAGTGCCACAGCAACACCTGGCACCACAGCCCTGGCACCCCTGTGCCCCACCATGCTGATGGCGGGGCCCGGGCCGGGTCAGTGCAGGCTGCTCGTCTCGCTTGTGGGCTCTGGAGGTCGTGACCAGGCTAAGCTCTGCTTTCTCCTGTTCAGGGACCAGAGCCTGGCAGGGAGCGGGCGGGCTCTGCCCCAGGTGAGAGCGGGCATCAAGCCTCACTGCCCGGTGAGATCCGTCCTTCCTGGGCTGATGGGCACAGCGATACACCGAGTCCAGGTGGAGCGTGTGGCGTGCCCACAGCCCGTGCTGCGCAGTCGCCAGTGGCCTGGGCTCCATGCCCTGTGATCAACTGCCACATCCCACCTGGCTGGCAGCCGCGCTCGCCCTGGACCCCCGTGACTGTGACTGCCGTCCCCGTGGCGGGAAGGGCTCCGCCTGACCACATCTCTGAGCGAGCTCGTGAGCTGGAGCAGGAAGGGGACCTCGGCATGCAGGGTGGAAGGGCGGCAGGAGCAGCACGCCAGGAAGGGCTGAGTCGAAGCTCGATTAGTGCCCGCCTCAGGGTCAGGCAGAGATGGGAGCTCAGCCCAGTGCTCACACCATGATGAAAAGGCAAGTGCTTTCGTTCCAGCTGCGGCTCTCGCAGAGAGAGCACGGCGTGAGAGCAGAGACGGACAGGAGCAAAGACTGAGGGAATCAGAGGCCGCGAGACAGGGCCAGCCGGGGCATCAGTCATCGGCACTGCGTCACTGTCGTTACCAGCAGTGTCGACCTCGAAGGAATGCGCACCAGAGCCAGCAAGGTCAGAACCGGCCGGCGGCCTGCGGCCCGCAGAGTCCCCGTTTCACACACCGAAGCACCTGCGCCCACAGCCACCACACCCGCGGGAACTCGAAGGGACATCGTGCCGGGGCGGGAGAGAAGTCCTGGCTGAGGGAGCGGGGTCCAGTCTGAGGTCTGCAGTGGAGCCCCAGCCTCAGCCTGTAGGCTTCAAGTTCAAGAGGTCTGGGTCCTCAGGGTTTGGGGTCCTGACAGTTCGGGGCTCAGGCATTTTGGGGCTTTGCAGTTTGGGGTTCAGTGCGTTTGAGGTTCTGCGGGTTTGGGGTTCTCCAGGCTGTTTTCTGAGCTGCGGGTGCCTGGAGGCTGGGAGGAAGGAAGAGGCCACAGGGCCGGCTCCTGTGTGCCGGAAAGAAGTCTTCTTAAGAGGCCATGAAGGGGCCGCCCAAGCCTGCAGCCCGTGGGTGGTGCCAGGAAGTTTCTGAGCTGGGACCCAGTGCTTGAGCCAGGGCAGGGCACGCAGATGCGGGTCTAGGTGGGATGGGATGGGAGCAGCAGACAGGGAAGGGTCCCACGTTCTCTGAGGTCCCAGCTCGGTCCAGGGTCCCACGTTCTCTGAGGTCCCAGCTCGGCCTGTGGGCCCCTGCATCTCTGCGGCCCTGTGCTGTGCTAAGCTCTTCACTGTCTCCGGACAGTGCTCCGGAGGGAGGGGGCGACTGTGTCTGCAGCACGCAGCACAGTTGGCATGTGGGGTTCTCTAAGCTGAAGGTGTGGCCAGGGTGACAGAGGTGCTGGACCTCTGCTACATGCTGGAACCTGCAGCTGGGAGCCGGAGGACACAGGCCAGGACCTCTGCCCGGGGCTGGAGGCCGCCAAGCCCTCAGATCACCTCCTGAGGAAGCAGAGGATTCCCAGCTGGTGCAGGGCCAGCCGTGTGCCTGAGGAGGGGCCTGTCCACGCCTCCATCAGGGCCTCTTCTGCTCGGCGCGTCCAACAATGCCCGCACCACACTTACTGAGAAGTGAGAGAAATATCACCGATGGGCACACGCGGCGCCCGACCTGACCTTCCTCCCCCTGCAGACCAGCAGCAGACAGCTCAGGGCGCAGGTGCCAACAGCCACGAGGCAGGACGAGCGAGGCGGAGGGTGGCTGTGACCAGGTCTGCCCCCCTCAAGTCCTGATGCCTCATGGGTCCTGGTCCAGGCCCCTGTACCCCAGAGCAACAGGTGACAGGGAAGTCGCATGTGTGGGCAACCCTAGGGCACACAGAAAGTGGGCTTCTTCCACCGATGCCCTGTGGGGGCATGGTGGGGTTGCACTGGGCCCTAGGTTGCGGTAGGAGCGTGTACAGGCCGGGACCCTCAGAGCTGCCCTCAGGCCAGATCTTATCCCCGCAGTTTACAGACAGGAAGCCAAGGGTGTTGGGGCCACAGAACCCTCCGGGCCACCACCTCCTTCCTGGGAGTGGCAGCTCGGGCCCCAGGAGCTCCACGTGCCTGACCCCAGCTCAGTGAGCCTGGGCCGCCGAGGCCCGGGGCTGCCGCCGCTCACCCTGACGGCTCCTGGGAAACTCTTTGGGCCTTCCCAAGTGCAAGGCGCAGGCAGCAAGCGGCCTGAGCTGGGTGGAAGGACTGGGTGGAAGGACAGGGTCCAGGGGGACCTGTGCCTGGCCCTGTCAGAAGCCCCACGGGGGAGCTGGTCCCAGCCCGGACCCCGCAGCCCTGCAGTCCCTGACCCGCGTGTAACTGAGCCCAGTCAGGGGCAGCTCTGCCTCCTTCTGCTCCTTGTGGACTGGGTCAGCATTCTGGAGAGCAGGGAGCGGCCTGCGCCGGGCGCCGAGCACACAGCAGCTGCAGGGCAGGCGGACGGCGCGGGCGCGGGCAGCCTGAGTGGCTGGGTGCACTGTGCAAGTTCAGAGCAGCCACCAGGGCACCCGTCGGCCCAGGTGAGGAGATTGGCCTGCAGTGGGGTCCCGCGTGCTGCCCTGCACCCCTCCGCCTCCCCAAGGGGGACACGCCTGACCTGCAGCTGCGGGGAACAGCTCTGCCTGCCCGCCGGCCTCGGGCTTCTGGGTGGGGACCGTGCTGCGACCCCAGCTCCCGCAGCATCGGAGCCGGCTCCGGCGGCCCTGCACTGAGGTGGCCTGTCCTGACCACCTGCGCAGGGGAGCCCTGGGGCTGAGGGGCGGTGACCACGTTCCTGCTGGCCACCGTCCGTGCTGGCAAAGCCATTTGCAGTGGGCATGGGCCGCCTGCACAGGGCACTGTCCCAGGGATGGCTCTCGATACACAGCTCAGCATCTTGCCCTGGTGTCCTGGCCCAGGCCCCGCGGGTCGCCGGCCTTGCCATTGTCCTGTCCGCTCCCCTGCGCCCACCATGCCCCTCCACGCCCACACTGCTCCTCCGTCCCATCAGCGCGGGGCCATCTCTGCAGGGCCGCAGGACTCACCCAGAGCGCTGCGGGTGCCCTGCGGTCTCCCAGAGGTGCCGTGCCGCCCTCGTCCCTGGCCTTTGCGCTGCGGCCTCGTGGCTGCGGCCATGTGGGCTCCTCCTCCGGGGTCTGCTCGCTCCTGCTCTTCTGTTTCCTTATGATCTGGGGTGGAGACGTCAGGGTTACTGTGAGGCCCTGGGGTGCGGGGGCCAGGCGCAGCGCTGTGTTTCCAGCAGGGAGCTCAGCCCCGAGGGACGCAGCCTGTGACAAGCGGCAGGCCAGCACGGCAGCTCCCCCAGTGTGCACTGTGTTGCACTTCTTGAGTGCCAAGGCCTGCGCCACCGATCCCACCTGACACCGGGAGACGCCACACACACCACCGTGACGCTCAGGGAAGGGTGGCGCAGGCGTCTACAGTGCTGGCCAGCACAGACCTGTGTGCGGGTGAGATGAGCGCACAGCCGGAGGGGCTGAGGGCCTCGAGGAGGCAGCGCAGGCAGGGCTTTGCCTGCTCACCACGTGCACCCAGCCAAGGCTCAGCACACGGCACACTCGCATCTTCCTTCCTGGTGGCCACGTCTGCAGACGAGGAGCCTGCCGAGGGACGCGTGGGGGCCGACTCTAATCCTCTCCTGAAGTGGACGTTGCGCCCACCAAGTGCCCCACCAGGCTCTCCTGCATGCCACGGACCTCAGAGGACGCCTGGGGCCTACGAGCGCAGTCAGCCCTCCCCCGGCCTCGGCCAGTCCTGGCCGCAGGCTCTGCTCTGAGCTGCCCCGCACCAGCCCACACCCCTACCTTCCGCAGGATCGTGGCAGCCAGCTCCTCGGTGAGCTCTTCTCGGTGGTCCCGCAGGTACGTGGCTTCGTTCTGCTTGTCCTGAGGGGGGAGAGGGTGGAGGGGACATGGTCAGTGCTGCCCCGGGGGTCTCTGCCCTGCACAGGTGGCCTGCCCTAGGATAGGCTGCTGGGACCTAACCCCGTCCCCCGGCCGCCTGCTGGCCGGGAACTCCCCCAAGGGCCTACCAGGCTGTCCCCGTGGGCTTCCGCCTTGGAGATGGCTTCCTCGATGGCCTCCTCCGCCACGCGCAGGGCTACGGCCAAGGTGTCCATCATGCTGTGTCCTGGCAGAAGGCAAGATGCACGGAGCTTTCTAGATGATGAGGCGAACAGCACCCGCCTGCGGCCCCTCTGCTCCAGGACATGCTGCAGACCACTCTGGCGGCAGAGGGGTCCCCTCCTCCCCACCTGCTCGCCCCCAGCCCAGACACTGTTACTCGTGATTCTTCCTGCCGCTTCTGTTTTCATCCCCACCCTCTGGTCCTGCATGCTACTGAGACGTTCCGGGACGAGGAGGCAATAACAGCTGTCCACCCGCCCTCTCGGGAAAGCCTGGGTCTTGCTGTGAGCGTGCATAGCATCACTGCGATGACAGATCCTAAGGATGCTGTGCAGCGATTTAATGCAAACACGAAATCCACAGGAGAAGATGTGAGGCCATAAAACGCTATCAACAACATGGCCAGCCTCACAGGGTGACCGCGGGCCACCCCAGCCCAGGGCTTCTCACGCCCTCAGCCTGGCTGCCCAGCAGTCCCGGAGCAGGCGCCGTGTGGGTGCTGCTCACAGGTGGTGGATTCATTCGAGGCACAGAGGGCCGGGGAACTCGCCAGGCCACAGTGAGACCAAAAGAGAGCTGGGCTCTGAGCTCTGTGCCACCTCCAGCGTCCTGGATTTCTGACCACAGTGTGGAACGACCCGAGCCACCGTGGGCTCCAAGCACGGCCGCTGCACTGCTAGTGAACAGTTTGTCGTATTTCTGCAGCTGGTGCCAGGTGGGAGGGGGCGCCCACCTCACAGCTCTTCTGCAGGGACGGTGGCTCTGGAGCTCAGAGGAGGGTCCCTACCCCCAAGGTGCAACAGTCCACCCTTCCTGGGGGCTTGCTCCTCTATCCCAGCCCCGTGGTGGGCACTGTGGGCCCTGTATGCCCAGGCTGCCGGTGAATCCACGCCCGGGACACACACCCAGGTGCACCATGATTCACCAAGTAGCCAAGAAAAGAAGGGCCGGGTCCGCTGGAGACCACACGTGGAGGAGCAGCTGCATCCAGGGTAAGCGATGGGGCTGGGCCCATCCTGCTCCCCCACACTCAGGCCTGAATCCCGGGCGCCTTACCTTCTGACTGCCGGTGAAAGGTGGAGTCACTGCCCGAGATGCTTCTGTCATTCTCCAGGTGGGACTCAAAAAAGCTTCCTCCTGGTGGGGGAGAGGAGAGAGAGAGAAAGGAGAGAGGAGAGAGAGAGAAGAGCAGAGGGGGGAGAGAGGGAGGGCAGAGGGAGGGAGAGTATTACCAAAGGGCTTCTCGAGCACCTGCAGACCCGAGCCCCTCTGATCAGCTCAGCCAGGCACACAGGTCCAAACAGGCTGCAGCCCCTTGGGCCCCGCAAGGACGCCCCAGTCTTTGCTGTCATTCTCCTCCTCACACTGACTTCTGTCACCCCGACTTCCTCCAGGCCTTCTGCATGGTCTGTACCCTGTGCCCCTCGTGCTGGGAGCCGGGTGCCAGGAGAGATGAGGCTGCTTGGGGGGATGCTGTGGGGAGCTTGGCCCAGCACGCCCCCTTGCTCTCCCTGCCTCTCTGGGACCTTCTGCGAGGCGACCCTGTAGGACGTCCCCCCAGAGGCCAGGGCAGCCTCAGAGCTCCCAGCCTCCAGGCCCTAGCCTTCCTGTCCACCACAGCCTCTGTGACCTGCGGAGCAGATGGCTGGGCTGCGCTGAGGCACCGTGGGGCCCAGGAGAGCGGGGACTGAAGTCTGGAGCTGGGCCTACAAGCGGCAGTCCGGCGTGGGGCCCTGCACAGGACTCTGCCTCTCTCCAGCCTGGCTGCTGTGCTGGGAGCAGGAGTATGTGCTCCTCTCCTGTTGCGCGACTGGCCGTTCATCTGCTTCCACGTCTCTGTTCTCTTTTGCGGAGAAGAGCCGCGTGCTGCAGCCAGAAGGAACCATGCGTGTGTCCACCTTCCAGGGCTCCGGCTGCGAGGAGCAGTCACCAGGGCCTCCCCCGAGGTGGGGACTCTCAGGTTCTGTCCCCACACCGATTCATTCACTGTGCTCTCCTGAGGTGGGACCGACGCCCGTTACCTTCTGAGTCGCCGCATTTCAGTGCCCTGGGAGCAAGGGCACATCAGGTGGCTCAAAACCAAAACCCCGAATCCCCAAACCGGCTGCGGGTGAAGAACCTGCTTGAGGGAACCCAGGGAACAGGTGGGAACCGCCATGCTTCAGCTCCACGAGGGGCAAATGCCCTCAACAGGCCATTGGGCCGTCCCCGCGACCCAGGGGCACCACGGCATTCGCGGGGCAGAGTCACTGTGCGCCTGCCCTGACAGCCCAGCCACCCGGCAGGCTTGAGAGTCTCGTGGGAGGAGATGGCAGCGCCAGTCTCCAGAGACATGGCTGGTCAGGAGACTCTCAGCGGGGTGATGGCGCCTAGGAAGGAGATGCTCAGCGGAGAGGCTGAGCTGGCAGCAGGCTGGGGTGGGGGTGGGGAGCCCTGGGTGGAGCGGACGCGGCACAGAGCCCCAGGGTGGGACCAGCAGTAGGTCCCTGGGCTGCCGCCACACTTGCACGTGCCTGAGTTTCCCTCACAGCTTGCAGGACTCACCCCGCTTTGCAGAATAGTGCCTCTGTGCTTTTGCAGGCGGGAGTGCCATGTCACAAAGTGCCCTGTCTGCCGTCTCCAAGTTTACCGGCAGAATCTCGGTTTAAATGGAGACACCAATCACTTTGCAACAGTCAACTCTCATTTCCATGAGGTGTCTCAGCACGCATGGGACGCTTTTAGGATCGTGCCACTCCCAGGACACAGACAGACAGGCTCTGAGCCAGGCTCTGGGAACACAGAAATAAAGGAGCCGCCACCTGCATGCCACAGCGTGCGGGAGAGGCCAGCAGTAACGTCCCAAGTCCCCAGAGCACGGCAGCCAGCGCTGGCACCGAGGGCAGAGGAAAGGCGTGGTGGTCACTGCGGGCAGCGCCCAGACCTCCCTTCCGGGCCATGCCCCCAGCCAATGCCCTTCTTCCAAGCTGGCAAACAGCACCTCACAGCCTGCAGAGTGCTCGGGCACGGCGCCACATCCCCACACGGCTGAGAGGAGGGGTCAGGGTGCGTCCACGCCGCAGGGTCCTCACACCGTCTGCTGCCCCTCAGTTTGCATTCAGTGGTGATGAACTTCTGTATTACGCTCTGCGACGCAGAGGGGTGGGCAAGGTGGACCGAGGGCTCAGGAGCGAAGGGGTGTGGGGATGGACAGGCGAGTTGGCTTATTCTGGGATCTCTGAGCTCTTTTTGGGCCAAAAAACTACTGTTAACAGCATATGTTTTAAGTTTGCTTCTTTTCTTTTTTGTCTCCATTTCCAGAGGAAAATCTTTAGAAAAATCGACGAAGAGAATGTAGAAATCGAGTGCGGAAGCCATCAGTGCTGCGGGCTGGAGGGAGGCAGGGGAGCTGCGCTCTCAGCTGCAGCTTCCGGAGTCTGAAAGATGAGGGTTCCACAGCCCCTGAGAACCCTGGGGATTCTCCACACTTGTTGCTGCAGCCTACTTTCCTGGTACCTGAGCAGCTGGTGCATTTCTAGATCAGACGCAAAGCCCTTACTGAGAAAACAACGGAAAATAACGGCGGTGCAAAGCTCCAAGTGAGACGGGAGGCTTCTCCCACCCTGATAGCCATGACACCGAGCATTAGCCTGCGGCAGCTGCCCAATAGAACTGTCAGCCCACCAAGGACATGGCTCCTCTTTTGACCACTACTTCCTCCCGCTGGCCGAGGTGAGGGGACCACAGACAGCCCCCTCATGCTGGTGACTGGGCCATCTTCAGGGCAAAGGCCCCATGTCTGCCAGCACTGACACGGTTTCCTTTCCCCATCACACGGGGCTCTGGGCCTGGGAAGAAAGCTTCGGGGTGGGAAGACCAGGAGAAGGGCGCTCTTCAGCGTGCAGGCCGGGTCTCTCCTCACCAAGCCCCATGATTTCCAGTCCTCCTCACCAGGGCATGGTGAGTCTTTCATTTCTAAATACCCACGATTGGCTGGAATATTTTGATCTTCCTGGTTCCGAACACATCAGCGTGAGCCAGTCAGGATGCTGGAGGCCAGCGAGTCCAAACCAAGCACAGGCTCTTGTGCCCAGGCTTTTGTTTCTGCTCCTCACTAGCACTGACACATAAGGAAATTCCTGTCCTAGGCGAGTATGCCCAGGGTCCACGTCTTCCCCATCCGCCCTTTCTCCACCCTGCCAGCCATCAAAGACCCCAGAGCTGCAGGCAGAGGGTACCTAGGACATCAGAGCATGCGCCGGACTCCAGCCGGTGCTTGCGGTACAGGTTCTTGAGGACCTTGGCACTGCCGAAGCGCTTGAAGCGGCTCTTCACGTTGCTGTAGAACCACTCCAGGGACTGCGTCCTCAGGAGCCTGCGGAGACAGGAGGAGACAAGGGGAAGATGGAGTTGTTTAGTGGTAGGCTGCAAAGCTAACATGGTGCGCTGCACATCCTCCATTCAGATGTGAGTTCACTTCTCAGCCCCTCTAGTCTGCACCGGCCTCGAGACTGATGCAGAGAGTGGTGGACACCATGGGAGTTCTGAGCCTCTGCCTCCTCCATCCTGGAGCCCCGCACCCTGGAACCACGCGAGTGATGAGCCCAAGCTGGCTGCTGGCTGCGAAGGACACTCGGCCAGTTGCCTTTCCATCCCAGTCCAGCAAACAGCAGGCCGGCGAACGATCACCATTCTAAGCCACCAAGTTTTGGGGAGTTCATTAAGCAGAGAAGTTGACTGACACGTGTTAGTAGTGCGCTTATGTTTGACCCTCTTCCTGCACTGTTGTTTTTTTTTTTTCCTCCGGTACCGGGAACTGAACTCACGACCTTGCGCTTGCTAGGCAGGCGCTTTGCCGCTGAGCTAAATCCCCAGCCCCCCTGCACTGATGTTTTTAATCCGGCTTGGGAGAATAAAAAGCACAAGTGAGGCAGTGCAGCTTCCAGCCTCCCCTCCACCGGCTCCCAGCATTGAGGGGAAGCGGCTCCTAGCTGGTGCTCAGGGCCTGCTGTGCACCAACAGATCTTCCCTCCGCACCTGGTAAGGACTGTTTTAAGGCCCTCGCACTTGAAGGACAGATTCTGTCCTTACTTACAAGGTTTGTGATGATACACACTCATTTTAGAAAGTCCAGGAATAACGGCATCCAGACCCATGCAGGAACAAGCAGATGCAAAGCTCCCCTCCCTCCCAGCCCGGGACGCTCACGCTACAGAGAGGAAGCAGCCTCCAAAGTGAAGGATCGGAGCCTTTGACGGACTTCCGGAAAACTGAAGGTGGTGTAAAGAGCAAGGTCATTCTCCACAACAGAGATCGGGACTTTCCGGCTGAGGGCCCAGTTCTGAGCTGCTGATTCAGAGAGCAGGCGGGTGACAGTGTGTCCAGAAAGGCAACAGCGGCTGTGAAGACCACAGTGGGCCTTGGGGGCCCCTCAGCTTTTCCATTCTGCTCTCAAGCAACTGGGCCCTCTGCCCACGGTTGATTGGTCCTAGGCCAGAACCAGCCATTTTCTACTGAGATTGGGCCATCCACGGGGGGAGGCGGGACTTCGGCTGATGTCGTGCGGTGAGCGCCTGGTTGGCACTGGGGGCACAGGAACTGCTCACAGACCTTGCCAAGCCTGTAGTCACCTGCCCAGCTCATAAACCTGGGGCACTTGGTCAGCCCCTCTCCCCAAGCCTGTTTCAAAGAAGAAGCTACTAGAAAGACTACTCACCAGCAGAGAAGGCCTGTGCTGGCCACCTTTATTAATCAAGTAAACAGTTTCCCCAAAAATACAGATAGCAAGGATCACCATGTTCTTAAAACAACCAACGGCGTAAGAAGGAAAGGCCACTAGAAACCAACAATACAAAAGGCAAATAAATGTAATTCAGTATACTGAAAATAACTTAAATTCTAATTAATACCAACAGTGTGGAGATTTCTCAAAAAAACTAGGATTAGAGGTCCCACCTAACCCAGCTATTCCCCTTCTGGGTATTTTTCCAGAACTGAAAACATCATACCACAGTGATATATGTGCACCCCTGTTTACAGCAGCACAATTTGTATAGAGAGGAATGGATAAAAGAGATGTGGTATTTTTATACAATGGAGTATTACTCAGCTATAAAAAAGATAAACTCGAGGCTTCCAGGTAAGTGGATGCAGCTAGAGACCATACTCATAAGTGAAATAAATCAGACCTGCATGTGTGAACACTGTATTGTCTCACTAGTGTAAGAACCTGAAACAGTAAATAAAACCCAAAAGGGCCAGGGATATAGCTCAATGACACAAGCACCTGCCTGGCAAGCTCAAGGTCCTGAGTTTGATTCCTGGTACCAAAAAAAACATAAATAAATAAAATAAAATCCAAAAGGTACAACAGAGATTGTGAAAGGGAAACAAACTGCTCAAAGGTAAGGAATAACTGGGATGAAGGAAAGGAGACAAGAAAGAAGGGAAAAATATATGTATATACAAAGATAGCTGGGATAATTGTACTGCTGATGTCTACTGGTTTATTGAAAGGAACAGTTAATGCTTAAAGTTTTTTTTCTCTTTAATTTTTTTGACCAATTTTGCATGCTTATATCTGGTAATATGAACAACTAATTTGAAGACAACAATATACAACAACCACTGTTCAATTCCTGTATCTTGTTTAGTAAAATTCTGTATAATTTCTAATGTTTATTATTTTTTATTCTCTTTAAAAATATTTTAAAAAGACTAGATCCATACAGTAGTCTAGGACGATGTGAAATACAAGTTATCAGGAATAATAAATAATGGAAACTAGCTTGTTAAATTTTTTATAGATCTAAAAGTTAAAATCAAGATACAATACAAAAGTTCCAGAATATACAATGAGAAACAAAAGGATGGGATATATGATAGAAAGGAGACATGTAGAATCATTTCAGGGGGTTCAGCATTTAATAAGGTTCCAAAATAGGGGAAAACATCATGGATGAGGAGAAAGACCCAATCAAAGACATAATAGAAGAAAATTTCCCTAAATTAAGAAAGGTAAACACATTTTAGTTAAAAACGTCAACCAACTGCCAAGCAGAATAAACAAAATACAAAGCAAAATAAACAAATCCACCCAGATTCATCTTCATAAAAGTCCAGATCCTTTTATCTCCAAGATAATGAATCCATGGGGATTCCAGGTAGGAAAAAACGGTATTTTAAAAATGAACAATAAGAAGTATCAATGAGCGCTGGAATACAGCACTGCATGCGCTAAGCCCCCAAAAGAAATGAATTCTACGCTCTACCATAGAATTCTACCTCAGAATTCTATGCTCCGCCTAACCATCCTCACCGGAAAACGAAACACATATTTTCAGGCACACACTCTCAGAAAGTTTGTTTTCTTTCTTTTTTGGTTTTTTTCTGGTACCAGGAATCGAACTCACGACCTTGCGCTTGCCGGGCAGGCGCTGTGCCGCTGAGCTAAATCCCCAGCCCCAGAAAGTCTGTTTTGTGAGAAAGGAAATTCCCAAGCCACGCTCCAGGTGGGGAAAGGAAAGCCGTCCCGGGGACGCGCCTGGCGGGACACAGGAAGAGGGCGCCGCTGCGGACCACGGCGTGCGGGCGACGCCGGCCCCGGTGTGAGCAGGAGGCCCAGGGCAGGAGGAGCGGGGGAGACGCGCCTGCCTCGTCCCGGGAATAAGAGAAGACGACGGAGACCGCTGGGGAAGCGAGGCCCAACTCCAGAAGCAGCGCGGTGCAGCGCGACCTCCAGCTAGAAGAAGCTGACGGCAGGGAGCAGTCCCGGCGGGGAAGCGCCCTCACCCGCGGCCACCCCATGCCCCGATCCTCGCGGCGCTGATCACAGAGCGCATCTGCGGGCGGGCGCTGCGTAGCTCCGCCCCCTCGGCACGGGCGCGGCGCGGTCCAGGCTGCGGTGCGGAGGGGGC